ACTTGTCGAGGAATGGTCGGCACACTCGGTTCATCAAGTCCATGAATACTGCCGGTGCGTTCGTCAAACCGAAGGGCATAACCAAGAATTCATAGTGGCCATAACGCGTTCTAAAGGCTGTCTTTGCTACATCATCTTCTTTCACATGCACCTGGTGATATCCCGAACGAAGATCGATCTTTGAGAAGCAACAAGCTCCCTGAAGTTGGTCGAAAAGTTCGTCGATCCTGGGAAGAGGATACTTGTTCTTTATGGTTGCTTTATTGAGTTCTCGATAGTCAATGCACATCCTCATGGTGTCGTCCTTCTTCTTTACAAATAAGACTGGAGCTCCCCATGGCGACGAGCTCAGTCTAACATATCCCTTATCTAGAAGGTCTTGCAGTTGAGACATCTACTCTTGCATCTCGGATGGCGCTAAACGGTAAGGGGCTCTAGCAATAGGGGCTGTTCCCGGAATAAGATCGATTTGGAACTCCACCTGTCTATCAGGTGGTAAGCCAGGTAAGTCTTTAGGGAATACGTCGAGAAATTCATTAACCACATTCACATCTTCAATTCCCCTTTTTCCTAGCTTGGTATCCAGTACATAAGCGATGAATGCGGAACATCCTTTAGCTAGACACTTACGTGCCTTTGCTGTGGACAAGAGTACTACATTTCCTTTCCTTCCTTCTCCGTAAATTAGCACAGCATCCTCATCTGGTAAAGGGATTCGGATCAGCTTTTTAGAGCATAAGATTTCCGCTTGGTTCTCTACCAACCAGTCCATCCCAATAATGACATCGAATCCGCCTATAGCCATGGGTATGAGATCCACCCGAAATTCCTTTCCTTCAATCCCTAAAACACAACCTCTAACAATTTCGTGCACCAAAACTTGACTACCATTTGCTATCTCTATTATTAACGCATCCTCTAGTGTACTAGGTGGCCTAAGCAAGTGTTGATAGAATGCAGTGGACACAAAGGAACATGAAGCACCCGAATCAAAAAGTACGTGATCAGGTACAAAGTTAACAAGGAACGTACCCGACACTACATCCGCCGACGCCTTAGCTTCTTCTCTCGACATCTGAAAGGCCCGACCGATTGCTTTCGGGGCGCCCTCCTTTCTCCCTTGACTCCCACCTGTTTTCAACTTTTGGCAGTCACTCTTGAAATGGCCCGGTTCCCCGCATTCAAAACATATGGGTCCCTTGATTGGGCACTCGTTTCGCGTGTGGCCTGCCTTCCCACACTTAAAGCATTTGGTGGGGGTAGAGTTGGTGCTACACGGGCCGTGATGTTTGCTGCGACACTTGGGACACCACCTTGGCTCTTGTTTGGGATGGGCTCCGCGATTGTTGTTGCCAAAATGGTTTGGCTTTTTGGATGGTGCGTAGGGCCCTTCCCACTTTCTCTTCTCACCACTCGACATCCTTTCTTCCTTTCCC